AATTTTTATTTGAATTTTTCGATCTTTTTCGTCGCGCTGTGATGACGTCACATGCGCGCTTTCGTCGAGCGCGATTTTGTCCTCCGCGCTTTTGACGGGTCACGAAAGTCACCATGGATTCCTTGGGATTTTTATGTGATTCTCACTGTACACAATATGTACCAAGAAAAGCAAAATGGCTATTATTGTCTGCACTGCATTTTTGAGTCCCTCAAAATTACTCACAATGTTTATTGCATTTATTTTCATTATACATCAGAAAATAGGCAATAATGATTAGCCCAAAGCAATCCAAGGAGTAAACAACACTCCTATGCCTTTCACCAAGAGAAGCACCCAATAGTAGAATAAAATCAATTCAAAGGCTCAAATATCTCTCAAAAATAAATTTCATCCATAGGAACAAAATAACAAGAAATTCAGCAGAAACTTTTGCTTAGGTAGAAGCAGGCTTGAGTATAAATGGGGATGTGCCTTTTTGTTATTGGTATATTTCCCCCCTTTTCTTTGTTCCATGTTATTACATGAAGAAAAGGTTTAAGAAAAGATTAAACTTAAAAACAGTAAAGTAAAGTATAATAAAGACTGCATTAACTTTTAGGTCATAAAACTCTTATGGGTTGCTGTGTGTTAATCAGGGTACATTTGGAAGACTGTGTCCAGTTCTGGCTACCCCGTTTTAAAATGGACCTTAGAATGAATTCAGAGAAAATCTCTTATGATGGTGTATAGGCTGAAAACCAAATTCTATGAGCTACAGCTAGTAGATTTGCACAGGTTTCGCCTGGAAAACAAAAGAAAATATAATCGCAGACCTCAAATATCTGAATGTCTGTCATGCAAAAGATGGAAGAGATTATTTCTTTCTCCAGGCCTGGAACCAGTGAATAGAAATTCCAAGGAGGCAAATTTCAGTTAAGCATTAGAAGAAATATACTGAAAGAGCTGTTTGGCAGCAGAAATGGCTGGCCTGGGAGGTGGTGGACTCTTCTTTGCTGGAAGGAAATAGATGGAGTCTGAATAGCCATCTGTTGGGGATGCAGCAATAGCATCTTGCACTGCTGACCTTGCATTGAGCAAGGAGTTGGATGACATGATGTTCAAGGTCTTTTCCAGAACTGTGATTCCATGGATGTGAGCTGTAAACATCTTGGCTCCTTTTCCCTCTTTACTCAGCTATTTGGGCTGCTTGGGAAACTAAGGATTTTTGAAGGGGTGAGGGAGAGCACTTTATTTTCCATTCTCCTATGGATTCATTTGCATAATGTTACAGAGTGCTTTAAACTGTGCTCTGAAACACACATCACATTGCTGTATTATTTATTAGATGCCTTTAATAAATAATTTTGTTAAATTTATTAGTTTACAAAACGGGTGGAAATTGTGTATAACAACAAATCAAAGATGTATCATCAGCAAAGAGGTAAAGGACAGAAAGACTAGACATAATCTCGAGGTGTTTATTTGACTAACCATAAACAGGTTCTGATTATTCCATGGCTGATGAGTTGCATAAATCATAATTATGCTTTGATACAGCCTCTGAAATGTGTGATACTTGATAACATTTGGTGGCAGAATAGTTTCCAATCTTCAGTGGAAGTAAAAAGAAAATGGAGATGTACAAATGAATAATTATGCTTGTGGGAAAATAAGATTATTTAAAATCATTTATTTTAAATAAAATAAAATCTATAAGGAGATTCAGAAAGGGTTTGAGCTTGAGATCTCTCAGACTGGGAATTATAATAAGAGTGAAGATTTTCTAATAAATTGGAATAATATTTTCATATTTTAACCTGCACTCAAAAATTGCTTATTAAATTAAGAATTATATAATCAAAAGGCTGGAAGGGACCTCAGAAGTCATCTAGTCCAACCCCTTGCTTAAGGCAGGAGCCTTATATTATCCCAATCAAGTGGTTGCCCAGTCTGTTTTGAAAACCTCCAGTGATGGAGCATCCACAATCCTAGGAAGCAAGGTATTCCATTGCTTAATTGTTCTCACTGACAGAAAATTTCTCTTTACCCTTCGGTTGGATGTCTCTGTGACAAGCTTTAACCCATTACTTCTTGTCCTGTTTTCTGATGCCTTAGAGAACAAAGTAAATCCTTTCTTTTTTTGTAACAGTCCCTTAAGTCCTGGGAGATAGTTATCGTGTCTCCCTGATCCTTCCTTTTTGATAGGCTTGACATACCTTGTTCCCTCAATCATTCATCATAGAATTTGGCCTCTAGACTCTTTATCATCTTTGTTGATCTTTTCTAAACACTTTCCAGGACCTCAACATCTCTTTTTGTATCATGGTGAACAGAACTGGATGCAGTATTCCAAGTGTGATCTCACCAGTGTGATAGAAAGTGGCACTATCACTTCTTGTTGTCTTGATGCTATCCCTCTGTTGATGCAGCCTAGGAATGCATTGTCTTTTTTGTTGGCTGCAGCACACTGCTGGCTCATACTACTGTTGAGCAGTTTACTAATAGAACATTTGGACCGCAATAAAGAGGGAGGTTTCCTGAAGAACATTGTATTACAAGCTTGATTTGGAGAAGAAAATGGATACAAAGAAATTAATTAATATGGAGGTGAAAGAAGATCTGACCACAAACATTTGTTCTGAGTCAACCCAATGTCTTTTGGTGCAATCCCCTTTCTGAATACACAAGACTGATTGCAGCCCTTCATACAAATAAATTTGTATATTTTAGACAAACTAAATCCTAGCAATGTTTATTTAGTTGAACGTTAATGCTCCTTAATCTGAAATCTTTATCTGCTTTTAAATGATCCAGGTAAATGTGACATGGGATCTATGATCAAGATCTCCTATAGCACAGGTGTCAATCCCATTGTGTCATGTTGCTGTCACATGATGTTTTGCGACTTTTTCTCATTCACAGAGTTGGATGTGTGTGACGTATCTGGCTCACGGGCCGCCAGTTTGAACACCTTGTCCATGAACCTTTTGTTCATGGAATTCTTTGAAACAGGGAAAGTGCTAACAGCTTGGAGGGGAGGAATTTCAGTAGAAAAAAATGACATTAAAAGAAATAGCAGGCCAATCCCAAGGAACACTTCATCATTTTGTTTTAAATACCATGTGAGCTTTATTTGTTTGTTAGTTTTTTATACTACCTTTATTTCTGATCAAGTAAAGATTGTGTACTCAACTAATGTTCTGGCCTGCTTTTTTCTTCACAACAATCCTGTGAAGTGAATTGGGCTAAGAGATTTGGCCCCAAATTAACCAGCCAAGTCTTCTAGGGAGGCCTATAACTAATGGCCTCCTGGTTTCTAGTCCAGTACCTTAGCTACCACATCAAACTGGCTCTCTAATTAGGCTTTCTAATTAGTCTTCCTTTTATTTTTACTCAGAAAGATTGATCTCTCATGATACATTTATTTTGGCTCAAAAAGCTCTAATCTGTTTTTAGAAAGTTGTTTCTAATATATAATTTTAATCTTTTTTGCTGAAGCTTTAAACCTATTACTTTTTACATCTGAACCAAAAAAAAATCCTGATCCTTTATTTTTCTTAAGGCAAACTTTACATGGAGCGTTAGGTACCACAACATATAATTTTGTCCCTGACTGCCAAACTGCCCTTTTAGTACACCGCTGACTGCTATAGGTCATATAATTTTTAAACATTAAAGAAAATTTATAAAGGATAAAGGCAAAAGAAAATGACAGAAAGAAACACTAGCAGGTCTTATGGTTGCAGGATCAATCTGAGTTGGTCACCAGGACCAGAGGTTTGTTCTTCCACTCTTTCAAACTCATGCTGGAGCCCATTCTCAGGGAATGTCTCAATCTCCAGGACACATCTGGAGATTGAGAAGTTCCCCAAGGATGGACTCCAGCATTAGTCTGAAAGCTTGGAAGACCAAATCTCAAGTCCTGGTAACCAACTCAGATTGGACCCTGAAACATTGTCCCGGGACACATATATTTGTCTTTATTCACAGTCTTATGATTGGTACAGATGCAATAATACAAGAAGAGGCAATTCTATTGGGCAGTAACCAAACCAAAACAAAGGCTAGTTTGTCTATTAGATAATTATCATACTAGAAATCCCAATCAAGTTCAAGAGAAACTGATGACCTCACAACGTAGCATCAACTTCATAGGGTGACCCAGAGAAAATAATGGCCTACTTTTTCTCCAAGCACTCTACATATTCTTTCTTCTTTCTGCGACTCTCCTGTGCAGAAATCTAGAATGAAAAAAAAAAAAAGAAATATTAGTTGCACTCCCAAGAATAATTCCATATTCAGTAAATATAGCAACTTATGGTCAAAAACAGGAAACTGCAAGAAGGATCACCCACAATTACACAGGAGTCCCCTTTGAATCAGGACTGCTGAACCTTCCTCTTGTGATTTATGTTGCTGGACAAAAGAATTGCTTGATGAATATTAGCACAGTTGACAGATTGTGGTTTTAGACCAGGAAATGGCATGAATTCTTTCCCTGCATTAAAGTTCTAATTTAATTTGGGGGAAGGGGGTGCTCTTCTAAATTAGAAGACACAGGACGGTTGTTTGTGGAAGCTGTCTCAGAGGAAGGCTCTTTTAAAGAAGCTGCCAGGAGAAGATCTTTGTGATTTAAGGAGATGTCATCAGGTGCAACACACACACACACACACACACACACACACACACACACACACACAGATGGCTACAAATCATATTCTCCCTTTTGAATCCAGATAACTGCACAGACCTAGAATATAGACTGAAATGTTATGACTATGGTCAGGGCTGGTTCAGGACGTGTTGCTTGAGGCAAAGCAAAAAAACTGTGTCCTTCCCAATTCTGCACATAGAAGCCAATCCAAATGATGGTTGACTATTATTTCAGATTGATGGTAGTCCAGCATGCTCTACCATATCTGAGAATAACAATGGCAATTTGGAGATATATAGCAGATTGCAATATACCTATGGCTCAGACTTTGGCTTCTCTGGCCTGAAGCAAGTGCCTGACTTTGTCTAATGACAGAATCAAGTCTATCCGTGAAGAATCACTCTCTTATTGATCACCCATAAATTGTCACAGTTGGCAGACAGTCTATTATATAATTGCATGCATAAATTTCTTGGTTTTGATCCCCGTGTTAATTTAGACTTAAAAAAAAATACATATAAAGATCTTGGAGACTTGTATTCAATCAGTACAAAGTGACCTAGATGGACTAACAGAATTATAGGACTAGGATCATCTAGTCCAATCCTTTGCAGGGTTCAGGAGAATCAATTAATCCATGAAGTTGTTTGCCTAGTCTCTTCCTAAATACTTTCAAATATGGACCACCCACAATTTCCTTAGGTGGACTTCTGTTGTACAAAGATTACTGTCAGGAAAGATTTCCTTATATTTAAATGAAATCTCAATAGCTAGCTGCAGCTTATATCTGTTATAACTACATACAGAATTATTTTCTGTAATAGAAATGGTATGTCTCTCCATAGCATTTTTGCTGTTGCATTCTTGTACTGGTGACCATTAGCCTCTGGTTAAGCGATTTTAAGTCTGAACTCACATGACTCTTCTTGTATGCTTATGGTCGAGCTGAGCATATGTTTTCATTTTACATTTATTCTTTTATATTATATGCAGAAATAAGAGTTCCTGGCATCTTCATTTTAAACATTCTTTCAAATAGCAGTACTAAAGGAGAACTGGAAAGTAACTGCCAGACTGACAAGACAATAGTGTGACAGAGAGACCAATAGTTTACTCACTATATGCATATGTTATAGATTAAATTGGATTGTCTACTCACATTAAATTTCTCCATATTTGAACCATCTTACTAATGTATTATTCTATGAAAGGATTACTCCTAAACATTTGATCTCAGGCCACATTGCTCAATCCAATATATAGATTTCTCATAATCTCTACACAAATCTGGGTGACATAAGTTGTAGTCTAACACATCTGGAAATTGGCAAGACCACTCTAGGATATCTAATACTGTACAATATTTTGCCTGAGAGACATCTCATAATGTTCCCACAATATTAGTATAGCACATTGTCTTCTGAGGTTATGTGAGAACTTTATTTTAAATATATATTGATGAATCAAGTCTATGTTATATTCAGAATGCAAATCAGCCTGCAGACAAATGACTGTGGCTTAACCTCTTGGTGGATGAGAATTGCGAAAAGAAGGTGAATCATTCTTGCCAAATGGACTGTACCTTATGTTTGATTCATAGAAAGTGACTAACACAAGCTGTTGGTTCATGAAAACTCTCATTTAGGAAGGAATGCACAATTATGGATGTGTGAATCAGTAAAAATCCTATCCAGTTTATTGTCTGAGTTACTGACCACAATTGCAGTTTGATAAAAGTTTTTTTTTTTTTTGCAATCTTTGTAGGTTTTCCAGACAACCTTTCACAAAATTAAATATTACTAATAATGGTTCAAGGTTGGGAAATGGAAATATTCTAGATGAAGACAATGGAAAACTACTCCCATACTGTTGGTAAGAAAATTAAATATAAGGGTCCAGTTATTCGCCAGGAGTATCTTTACCTTTTGATTGCATTAGTACACTATTTTCAGCAATGCATTTTCTTTTCAAAAGTGTGTTTTGTTTTTGCAGATTGCAGGAAAAAATTAAATGTTACCTAAATGTTAAAAATATTTTTAATAGTTCATACTGCTAGGCAGCAGAGTGAAATGGAACATTCAACTTTGCAGATTCACCCTTATTCAGAATCAGTATTGTAGACATTCACTTGGATAAAAAATACAACCAGCTGATGGAACTACATTTAAGTATTTTTTCACATTTATAAATGAGAAATAAGACAGTAATATGATGTAAATACTTCTTATCTTGACATGTATACATGCACTTTATAGCAAGGATGTGAAACTGGAGGCCTATGGGTTGGATGCGTCATGTGCAGGCCACACCCATCCCAGCTCTGTGAATGGGGAAAATGTTGCAAAACATCACATCACAGCAATGTGATGTGGTGAGTTTGACACCCGTACTTCATACTAATGTTAAGATTGTTCACTACTAAGTCCCAGTTAGTTAAATTATTGTTTCTCTGGTTTCCATTTATTTCAGCTTCCCCTATGTTGAATTTTAGATTGCAATATATCCTCAGGGATATATTTCCTGCAAGCAGTTTGCAGACTAATCACATGGAACAGAGAAATAGATAGACAAGTAGGTAAACTGGTAGGCCAGTACATAGATGATCAAAAGTCAATTTATGTTGAGATTCCAAAAATTACTCTTTCCGATTCTTGATTCCTTTATAAATTAATAAAGTGGCTTTGAAAAAGTCAATCATTGCATGATTAAATATTACTGGGTGAACAGAAATCGAAGTAATATCTGCAACTATATTTATATATAACTCACACCTGCCTCTCTAGCACTGCTCGTTACCAGTCTTATACAGTTGGAATAACAGACCTTGTTCTTGATCTTTCGCCTTACTCTCTTCAGTGCTTTTTCTTCTGCTTTAGTCAAAGGAAGCTTGGTTGGGATGGGATAACCCTCAGCAATCAGGGTGCGCTTTTCCTCCTCAGTTAGGAGCAGGGGCCCTGAAGTCCCCTGTAGTTTCTGGGAACAAGAGCAAGAACAAACCATTTTCCCAAGATATACTTTATAATCTTATCCCATTTTTTTGTGCAAAATAATGAATTGTCAAAGTCCTACTGTAAGCAAGACCACAAGGACTATCAAGGAACGAGAAAAAAGGGAAGGAAATTCTTGTATATCAAATACAACAATATTTTAAAAATTTCTAAAATAACACAGCATTAACATAATAACATTTTAAGCAATAGTTTAGTTTTCAAGGAGAGAGCAGTTGGGTTTCCTGGGCCACAGTGTAAGGGTTTCCAAATAGCATCCAAAATTAAATCAGAGTCCGAGGCAAAGCATTCCTCAAAGTTCCAATTTATTAAGACAACCATGTTGGCACATCTTGGAAAACCTGAATCTGAAAGCTTCCCGGTTTCCCCCACCCAGCTGAAAGTTCAAGATCTTGCCTCACACCCACAAGTCCATCACATGGTCCAATATTCCACTGCCATGCTGGCAGTTCCACCCACGCAGTTCCAGTCAGGTGCAGAGGTTCAAAGACAAAGGATGACCTTGACTTTCCAGAAAAAAATTGGCTACATATCATCTAACTCTGTACAATCCCCACTGCCCATTTTCCCACAATAGAAAACGTATAGTAGAATAATAGAAAGTGTGGCAGGCCAAAGACCCAAAAGAAAAGATGGCTGCAGGCCTGACACACAATTCTTTAGCATAGACCATAATCATGTGGCTCCATGAATCCTGACTTGGAAGGGCTACCTCTTGTTTATATGTTAAGATTAGGTGAAAGAAGGTTATTTAAGTCCTAAGCCTTTAAAGATAAGGGCTGAAGTACCACTCTAAAACCCCTCAAATGTCTACGAGCACAACCTCAAAAAAATCATTTTAATGTCACCATTTCAGGTGAAATTTTCTGATGAGCTTTTATAGAAAGTATATTCTGGAGCAACCTAGCCTCAACAAAACTTAAGGTTATGCAGGAAGAGGGTCAGGACCACCTTTTTAAAAAAGGTGTTGATGGAGCAAATGAAACTAGGCAAAAGCATATCTGGTCAAAGCTGCTTGACACACAATAAGGACAGTCATTTCCAGGACACTCCCAAATTGGATAACCTAATTTAAAATAGATTAAATGGCTGACAAAGATTCAGGGGCCAATAGCTCATGAGTGCTTCCAGTGAAGCTCCTTGAGCAAGGGCTAGAGACTTTAATTCAGAGACATTGCCCAGCCTCTGGCACTGCAAATTTGTAGGGTCCCATCCTATCCCTCACCATCCTCTTCTCTCCTGTAGAGGCCTTCTGAAAACGCGAAGGGAATGGATGTAACTTTTATTCTTGTTCTGCAATGGACCAGCACCAATATTACTGTCTTGAGGGACAGAAGGAAAACAGCAGAAATGGGAAAACTAGGAGAGAGAAAAGCTGGCAAAGAGATGGATGAGTGAAAAACTAGGATTGGAACTGCGGAAGAGGGTATCTTGCTCAGTGTTTCCTCAGTCTTCATTTAATCCAAATTAACCTCAAGTGTCTTCCCTCTCTCCCCCCCTATATATTACAGATCTCAAGTACTCATTCAGAACCTCCATGGATTCCTTAAGCTTTGTTGGAAAAAGAAAGACAAAGCTAAGTATAATTAGCATTTTGATGACAATCGATTCTAAATCTCGGAAGAAGCTTTGCTTTCAAGCATATCATAGCCTGATAAATGCCTCGTGATGGCACTATTTTTATCTTTCTCATTTCTGAAATACTCTTAATTAGTAGCAAATTGTGATTCTGCCAGTGTGTGAATATATGAAATATTTTCACCTTTTAACCTTTCTTCTAGATTCTACGATCCATTGTGAATTTTATGCTTTGAGCAAGGAGATGAGTTATTCTTAGTCTTGTCAAATGCTGTATCCAGAGTGCAGACTACCATGTCTCCCTATTGGACAATTCTCTGGTTCTTCTGTCCTCCTAACTTTCTGTTCCAGTAAGGTGATTGCCAATCACTTTTCTTCCTGGGGTGTGTCATACTGAATATAGGTACCTTTACATATATGTGTTTGCATAGAATCTGTGGGGGGATGGGGCCAAAATAAGCAAAGTGTTCTGACCTAGGCTTCCCCAGCAGAAGAAAACTGAGTCCTTGTCCTGATAAATCCCTTTTAATTAATTTACAGTGAATTCCTTTGCAGCAAAGTCTTTCCTCTCCCACAGTCTTTCAAGATAGTTCACAATTACTGACCTTTATCAGGCTTGGAGAGTGACTGGGCTGGTATTTTTCAGATGCCGCAATGCGTGACAAGAATGCAGAAATGAACTAATTGTCTCCTGCAAACATCCCTCCCCTTCTGCTCCTCTTTTATTCCCTATGGGAGGGGCTATTTACTGTCTACCTATGGCCTCATTCCCAAGTTGACCCTTGTTCCTTGATGTTCGCTTCGCCTGGCAACTCTGCACATGTGCACATTGGGAACAGGCTCCAGCTGTTTGTCTGCCACACTGATGTCTGACCTCGAAGGCTACTGATAACTGTCAGACGGCCCTGGCCCCATCTCTGCCTCCAACGCAGATGCAGAGCACTCCTCAGAGCCTTCCCCAGACACCAGGACTGTCCCATGTTCCTCCCCAACCTCCTCACTGTCCAAATCTGCTGCCAGCTTCGCTAGCGGGCCACAACACAAAGTAGTGGATGGGACATCACAAGAAAGCTGGGGCTTGCATCATAATAGTCTCCCACTTGCTGATTTGGACTCCCAGTAGACACTGCTATATGTGTTTATGTGTGTCTATAAATTAAATTCATACATTCTATGGTGAAGCATCCATCCATCCCAAAATGAAGCTTAGAATAAAAATAATTCTACTATTGCCATGTAGTTCTCACATACTGTATCTTCTGGAGCTACTTTGCTTAACAAGTAGAATATTGTTGGCTCAAAACACCACAGAAACTTTTTTTTTTTTAAAAAATACTCCTTTTCTTTTCCTCAGTTACTGACTTTTCCACTGGGTGTTTTTTCCTTTCTAATAAGTCCACTGGTGCACAATTTCATTGTTTTGGAAAAAGGATGTCCACTACAATTAGAAAAAGACAGCCAATTGAAAAATTAGATACCGTAGCTGAGGAAAAGAAAAATGGTCATCCGTTTTAGACTATTAGCAGTAGCAATAGCAGTTAAACTTATATACCGCTTCATAGGGCTTTCAGCCCTCTCTAAGCGGTTTACAGAGTCAGCATATTGCCCCCACAATCTGGGTCCTCATTTNGGGTCCTCATTTTACCCACCTCGGAAGGATGGAAGGCTGAGTCAACCCTGAGACGGTGAGATTTGAACCGGCGAGCTGCAGAACCAGCAGTCAGCATATTGCCCCCACAATCTGGGTCCTCATTTTACCCACCTTGGAAGGATGGAAGGCTGAGTCAACCCTGAGCCGGTGAGATTTGAACCGGCGAGTTGCAGAACTAGCAGTCAGCTGAAGTGGCTGCAGTACTGCACCCTAACCTCTGGGCCACCTTGGCTCTTATTCCACAACTATGGATAAATTACAGAATTTGGAATCAGGTGAAGGGACAATATTGATTCTGTGAAGCCAGTGTGTAGCGTTGGCCTTGAAAAAAGCAAAGCACATCAGACAATAGCAGCAATTGTGGTAATAGGAAAACCATACTTTGAATGCAGAGCAGAAAAATGCAACCAAAGGTTGTAGTTGTACTGGGTGAGGGTGAATATAGAGTAACAGTTTCAATTCCTGCCCTCCTAAAATGATTGCTGGCTATTGGGACAACCTGGCATGGTTAAAGCTAACTCTCTTCTTACATGTGGCGCCGTGAGGAGTGGAGAAGAAGAGATTGCTGTAGAAGACCGAGCAGTGGGGCGGGCTGGGCTGGAGGGAGGCAGGGATCTTGGGCTCTGAGATCCATCACTGTCACTGCCATGACTGCTGGGAGGTGTTGGTGGCATCTGCACCAAGTCATCTAAGTCAGAAAAATATAGAAAATGGGTTAACATCAGACTGAAGTTTGGGTCAAAGATAACAGCAGAAAAAAGTTATTTGGTGAAGAAAGCTATAAATCTAATCAGTTCCAGCTATTTGGTGAATTATAATCTGAGCCTTCATTTGTGAGAGGCAATATTCTTTTTAGGAAATGACAGAAATAAACCAGGAGATTCACCTTCTCTTCATCATTTGTTAACATCTCACCATCCTTACTTACCAATGGGCTTTATTTTCTTGTTTTGGTTTTATGTAAAAAAAAAAAAAGGCCTACATCAACTGCCTAACTAATACTCCAGGACAAGTGGAAACTTTGAGAGAGATAGGCAGTACAGAAACATGAAAAAGAAATAAAGAAATAAAAATAAAAACTTGCCTCCAGGTTTAAGATGTATTCAGATCTTGAAACTAAATATACTTGGGGACTGGGTCTAAGGGACTTTTAGGGCTGTTTACTGGCAGTACTTGGGCTTCCATAGGGAAGGGCTAAAAGAAATCAAGTTGGCAGGCACAAAGATATATTTGACATCCTACCCCTTTTGAACATGTGTTTTGTGTGTGTGCATATGCACAAAAAGAGAGCAGGGTTTCAATTACATAGTTACATCCACCATCTTATCTCTTTCTTTTTTTTTTGATCCTCAGCCCCACAGATGCCCTCAACCAAAACTGTTACAGCTTTCCCAAGTGCTTATTTCTTTGATTTCATTTATTGAACTTTGATTATGGCTAAGATAAAATCAGTGAAATGAAACTGATTTCTCTGTCTTCTAAAAGATGAAATTGTCCCAGAGGCATATCAGAAATTAGAGAATCTGAAGCTTAAGTGGAATTTACCTCACAATAGATAATGCCAATGGGGTTATCAATTGCCTTTAATTCTTGCATTCATGAGATATATACAGTTTCTTTCAGAAGAGCATGATCAACACACTCTGTTCTAGGTCCAATAGTAGGAGATAGATATTGATGGCAATCTTATATGTCCCTGACCTCCTTCTTTTCTGTATATCCACATTGCCTCCAGAGAGTTACCTCGTGCATTTTTTAAAAAGGTGTACAGCCAAAACATTTCCACTGTTGCATCTATTCTGTCCTGAATAAGTTACATCCTTCAGTTGCTAGATTCCAGTCGTGGGAGTTGTCTCACAAGTCTTTTGGAACAAGTTCTACTATGTCATTTGCCAAAATGTGGATTCGTTAACTGCTGGTTCTCCCACGAATCCTCTAAATTTCCTGCTGATAGAAGATGGTGCTCTTGCTAATGCTTACATTATGTACATATATAAAAAAGCCTGTTCTGTTGGGATACATTGTGAGCCAAACATTTGAGAGAGCCTAATTTATTCTATAAATTATTGTTTGCTTATTTGAATATGAATTTCCAGTACTCGAGAAGGACGTTACAGTTTTAAAGTAAATAAATAAATGTGTTCATTTGGCTAAACAGGTCCCTCTGTGCAGTGTTAGTGACTGCCAAGCAGAATTCTTGATATTGTTATCTTTCTGGAATTAAGCTAAGATCTTTATACCAGGCACATTAAAAACTGGCAGTGTTTGTTATTATCCTTCCAATGACATGCAGCCAATATCTAATCCAAAAAAGCCAGAGAAATGTGGGCTGGATTTCAAATAAGACTACTGAAACTAGGCAAGCTTTTACTGACTTAATTTAAATCTGTCTTAAAACTTAACAAAGTGATTATGATTTTTATAAGGTGCTCAGCTATTGTAATGATGGAAAGACTCCCATTTAAGGAAAGACATTTCAATGTCTAATTACTACAGACTACACCAGCCCTTTGCCTTCTAAAGAGAGGGTGGACTTCTGGTGGACCCAAGGAAAAGTCTAACCTTTACAAATCGCAGGAAATGTTGATTTATTTTTTTTTAAAAAAACGACACTCTACTAATTCTCACTCCAGAAAGGCTGGCAATTTGCTAACTTTGAGCCATCTTTTCATATCATACAAAGCATCTACATAAGGAGGAGAAGGTCAAAGAACATGAGGCAGATCCAGAAAAAGATGGAGAGACACCCTCAAAGACACACTACTACAGCATCAATTAACAATGGTTAAGGCTGCCAGAAGAGCAAGAACCAGAACTTTGTGTCCCTCAACACCCAAAGCAGTAAAAGAGGAGAAGAAGGAAGAGGAAGAAGAGGAAGCTTTCCAACACTGCTGATCCTCAAGGTTTGCATTTCACAGACTTAGGCCAGACATAATATTGCTGAAGGGAAAAGAATATGATTAAAATAGTTTGGTCTTTAAAATTATATCCAGAAAATGGAAATTGCCCCAATCAAACTGCTATGAGAGTCAATTCTCTTAAGAATTGTTCTTGCATTCTCTTAATTAACTATTTTAAATGACAGGGCAGATACATGCTCCTTTTTAAATTAGAAATTCTAATTTAATTACAGTAATGCCTAATAGATAAGTTGGTAAATTTTGATAGATACTGTTGTATTGATCTGCATTTCATATTCTAGAAATATAGGGAAATACTACTGGTAGATAAAAGATTAGGAGTAAATCTTCATAATGTCACATATTCACAATGCCCATCAAATCCTAGTAGTAGCCTTTTTCAAAGAGATAGTTGTCAGTGCTGGTTGCTATCTATAAAGCCCTACATGGTTTAGGGATTGCCTTTCTCTCATAGTAGCTGCCCAGCCACTTTGATTCTATAGGGTTGGTACACTGGGGGTTTCTTTGATGAAACAGTCATCTATTGGAACCCCAGAAATGCTTCTTCTCAGTAGCGGTTCCTGCCCTCTGGAATTAGGTTCCCTCTGATATATGGGTGGCCCCCACTTTCCTGTTTTTTTAGAAGAGCCATGAAGCTGTGATTCTTCATTCAGGCTTTTGACAACGGAAACTGAGCCTTCATAGCATATCATCTGGTTTGTCACAATTGCCATCTTTTATCATAGATCTATGGATCAAATTGATCAATTTCATCAAAATCAATCTTTGATTAAAATAATGCTTTAAATTTGCAGCTCTCTCCCAATTATTGATTTTAATCATTTTTAATCCGATTGATTTTATTGTAATTTTATGTTGTTTTATTGTTGTACATCACCCAGAGTTGTTGAGAGTTGGGAAGCATGCAAATTTAATACATTATTATTATGGTAGGTAGTACAGTCAGCCAATTGTTTACATTGGATTTGTCATTTTTATCCACTATGGTATTGCAGTCAGCCAGATGTTTAGATTGAATTTGGCATCCACTCCCCATGAATCCAGTCCTTCCCAAGGACCTGGGAAAAGTCTGTTTGATGGTGTTAATGATATTATAGCAGGATGTGGTTGTATTATCATTATTATTATTTTGTCTGGAAGTTTACCCTAATAGCATAAAGGCAATATGGTCTATAAAAATAACAGATATGAGAGAGCATTGAAAGCTCATTGAGTTATCCAATTTTCTCACCTGTTGGCACATTTAAAAATTGATTAACTTCTCTAGGTTCAGCTTTGATTACAGGTTGGGTAGTCATTTCTATAGGTGCCTGTAAAACAATTGAGAAAAGTATTAAGTTAATGATTTTCTAAATATCTTGCTTTGAAGAATAATGGATTTCTCAATGAGACTACATCATTTGCAAGGACTCAAAACATTGTCCCTTGAGGGAGATAGACAATGAAATATAAATAAAAACAAAGAAGCAAATAAATAAAAAATAAAATTGTGCTGTATCTTATCATTTGCTTCTGGGATCAGGCTACATACATCTCTCAGGTTTCTTCTGAGATAATAGGGTTCCATACAAGGATGGTGAGACCATAATCCTTCTAGAGATCACTACACACTATTTTTTATTATTCATTTGTATACTATGATAAGTGGTATGGTATAATCTGCTCTTTGCACCAACTGGCCTCCTTTTAGAAGAGAAAGATACATTGTATCACCAATTTATTACTAAATTGGTAATACAATGCACCAAAATATTCTGGTGTATCAAGAGGCATTGAATTCTGTGCCATTGCTTGAAATGTATTTCCACAGTGGATTATTATAACCTGTCAGTATAGACAATACATTAATGAAGGAAATCAGCAAAGTATCCATTTGCACTTTCATAATGGAACCTTGTCTACTTTCTGTTTCTTCTCCTTAAGCATTTGCCATTTCTCCAGTCATTGGTAGCTTTATAAACTGGGTAGCTATTTGTACACTATTTATACACAGCTTGTGTTCTACCATTGAGCCATGGCAGTTCCCAGGTACATGCATACATGCTACGGTGTAAAAGCTACAGCTTAATTATGGCTAAACCAGCAGAGATTTAAAACTGTAGTGAGTGTCAACATGCCTAGTGATTGCAGCCACTATTATTCTAACTTTTTTCCCTAGTCATCCTTTTTTTATCAACTTGCATATTAAAGGCTGATTCCATATGAGTGTCCAAAATTGCTTGACTTGTTTCCAAAGACAATATAATTAAAAAAACAAGAGCATTTGGTAAAGAAAACATCATGTACATGTGATAAAGAAGTGCATTGCACATATACCGTGTTTCCCTGAAAATAAGACAGGTCTTAATTTCTTTTGACTCCCCAAAATAAGTGCTTGGCCTTATTTTTGGGGAGGTCTTATTATTTTTGAGGTGCAGGAGATGGCGAGCATGGTCACCTCATGGCTGCTGCTATGTTGCAATATTTTTGGGGAAGGCTTATTTTCAGGGGAGGGCTTATTTTCAGGGAAACAAGGTAGTGTTTCCATGATTGATAGTCATTTTTGCTATTATCTCCTTCCTATCTCTAAAAAACTTACTCAGATTCAGATCTTTGATCTGTTGTAATATGCGTAGGACAGTTTTGCACAAACTTTGGCAATACAGAATACCCTCTAATGTTCACTGGATTTTCTGCAGGGCTATTTAACAGCTGTTTCTGATCAAAGGAGACCAAGAGTTAATATGAAGAGCCATTAATTCCCAGCTGCACCAATGTGATCTTCTCTTACCAGCTTTCTTTTCCCACCAAATGCCAGAGATTTTTTTCCCCATTAAACAGATATATTTCACGCTGTCTCAGACTGTAAACATAGCCTGGCAAAGGAAGTTAATATGGTTTTCAAACACACACCACATAGATCTACATTTGGAAATCCACTGAGTTCAAAGTTAAAGCAACAGAGGAAGTTTTGTGTACAAGTTTGATTTGAATGGTGTCCTTGTTTTTCCCTCCTACTTTTATCCAGAGTGAGTGAAAGGAAGATAACCCACAATTGAGTCCAAATGAAGGGAGTTCTCTTACTCCACAGGTGAAAAGCGCTGAGGGGTTTTGGCAGCGCGAGAGAAAGACTTCAACGTCAGTGCTGCATATTTATATATACATATGTGCATGCATACATACATACATACATACATACATACACATACACACACACACATATGATTCTCTGACCTTTCAAAGTGCAGAATAAATGATTTTATTGAATTGACACATAGTTCATTTTCTGAAGCCTCTAGGCCCACACCTGATCAGGCAAACCCTTTAAAATTAACTCATTGGCAATGAAATACGGTGGGAGGAAATTACTACCATATCCTTCAGGACATACCTTGAAGCACCACACTTTAATTTATGCAATTTAAATTGATGTTACAATGAAACCTGTTGTGTGATTTGGAAGCAAGTAACAAGGAAGGGTATTTGGCACTCCAGGTCGGAAGTTATCAGATGCCGCTTCTTGACATTTCACACACATCTATTGTTCCATTACTTGTCTCAGTGAAGATGGTCAGTAAAAGGGGGGAGGGCGTTTTAAGTCCCCATTGTAAGCTGCTAAGAGTAATCTAGTACTACGAGATGGTCGGCAAAAAACAAACTAACAAACAAATGTTGTACCATGCATATTAGAAGCACTCAGTATACCTCTGACCACCATTGTGAGGGAAAAACAACAAGAAGGGCAAAAACGGAAAGAATGGTTGAAAAGACATCATAAGCTGAATCTGGTCCAAGCGTTCTGATTTGTCATCTTGCAATATATCCTGTCCCTTTCCCCAAATTGGTATTTTCCAGATGTCCTGGACTATACGTTTCTAAATTTTGATTGCTATTCTGGGAGCTATAAAGGACTTTGCACTGACAAGGCTGCTATGCTTTACCGTCTATACAGTAACCTGGTGTACCTTTAACAGACCAACAAAATGAAACGCCTTATAGGAAGATGTTTAAGAAGACCAATCCAATGTGTCTAAAGCAAAACTTGATTTTTTAAAGCTTTGACATCTCCACTTCAGCTTCTTAAACACTATCCTAGAATTATGCTCTTTAAAAAAACATATTTGAAATATCAAGGATTGCTTCTTGTGGGGAATGGTAGCCTGGCGTTCTCTGAAATGCAGAGAGCCGCTGCAGCTTTTGAAAGGCTGATGGGAGATTTTTGGCTAGCTCTTATTTTCCTGGATCAAAGGGAGATCAATAGATTAACCACCTGTGTTTTGATTAAACTGAAAAGTCGGCTTAGCTTTTTGCAGCTAGATCCAGGAGCTGAGTTCTCGGGACCTCTGGATGTTCATCTACACTCATAGCGGAGCCATTACAAACATTGCTGCTTTGCTCTCCCTTCTCTTAATCACTTTAAGAAGTAATCAATTTCAGCTTTGCTCCTTTTGCAGCAAAGATAAGATTCCTTGGAATGAGTTAAATCTTCTTTTGAGGCTACAAAAATACAAGAGAGACTTTGGTTTATTGAACTTATTTAAGTTTTATTGGCAAAAAATCAATTAAAAGAGGTTTTCAATGGTTAAAGGTGATGGCCTTTATTTTTTATCCTGATATTTTTATTTTTATTATTTTTACTTTTGATGAAAGTACTTTACACAATTCATTAGCCCTGATCGCACAGTGGTTAAAATGCAGTATTGCAGCTACTTCTGCTGACTTCTGGCTGCCTGCAGTTTGGCAGTTCGAGTCTCACCAGGCTCTAAGTTGACTCAGCCTTCCATCCTTCTGAGGTCAGTAAAATGAGGACCCAATTTTTGGGGGGCATTAGGCTGACTCTGTAAACCACTTAGAGAGGACTTTAAAGCACTGTGAAGCGGTATATAAGTCTAAGTGCTATTGCTATTGCTATTACTAAATTGGTTAAAGAGAATAATCCAGCATGGAATGTTTGTTAATTATTTCTAAAGTTCTGCATAAAAAAGGTCTCAGTAAAGACACAGATGTGACTTAGATTGTGATGTTTAGTTACCATGGAGAGTGCTGTTTTTACATTTTACCAAAGACCTCAGATCATAATTCTGTGAGTTTTCTTTATAAAAGAATATCTAATCTTTTCAGATGGAGATGAAATGAAGTGTTGCTATAGAAAGAAGTTGTTGAAAATTGTAGAAAGAAATTAAAATAATATTTTTGAATAAATAAAGGTATAAATTTGAAAATGGTTTGGGATACAAAAAGAGAGAGAAAATACAAAAATTTGGGGCTGAACTAAAAAGAAAAGGAGAATAAACTCTCCAGGGAATACAAGTCTCTCCCAACAAATTAAGATTTTATAGCAACAGTTATCGATGTTATCAAGAAGAGAAAGGGAAATAAAATTGAACGATGCAAAGCAAATAAATTTTGAATTTGCGAATAAATTAGGGAGGTGGTTGGCTTATAAACTGCAAAGACAAAGAAAAAAGAAAATGGTAATGAAATTACAAGTGTGACATACTATACTAATGGACAATGTTTTTACACAAAAAACATTTTTTCAATTTTATTTTAATCTGCATTAATGACATGATATTGTCTTGAAGAAAATAGATGAATATCTTGGAGAATGAAATCTACCAGGGATTACAAATGAACAAATGCAACTGATGAATGGACGTATAATGATAACAAAAGTCTCAGAAGCAATTAAAAAGAGTAAGCCAGGAAAGATGCCTGAACCAGATGAATATAGAGTTTGTATTGTAAGTGGTTTGAGGACGAACTTTTACAACCTTTACAAAGTATAATGAATTATATTCTACAGGGAGGAGGGATACCAGAGACTTGGAAAGAGGACAACATACCATTAAGAGGAGCAAAATTTGATGTCGGTAAGAAATTACAGATCAATATCATTATTGAATAATGGTTATTAGTTGTTCACAATGATTGCAGCTGAAAGATTTTTTGATAAGATTCTGAAAGATATGAATTTTAGGAGAATTTTATAAAATGGCTGAAATGGATTTTTACTTCATAGATAGCACAAAAAATCATTAACAGGAGTTTAACTAAAATATGCGAGTTTGGTGATAGGTTGGGTTTTCTTAAGAAATAAAAGATTACTGAATTTAGAAGATCATGATTTGAGATTTGGGTGGCATGGATATCTATGGTGTGATAAAACTAAGGTGAATATAGACTAAAAATTGTTATGTTAAACACAGGCTATTCTGAGAGAACGGACTAAACTGAGGTTTTACCTGAAAACATATTTATGACTTTCGGCACAAGAAATATTTTATAGATGAGAAATAATAAGCAAACATAAATGGCTAGTCTACTGAGATGTACTTGATTTTTTTCCCCACCGAAATGTAAAATGAAATTAAGAGAAGGTCTGATAATAAAAGGATAATCTTGTCAATGGTTTTATTATGTACAATTGATGGTAAGATTTATGGTGGATTAAAACGTAAACATGTTATTGTTAAACAGTTGCTGAAATACATTATGACACAGAAGACGAACAAGTGAAAGAATGTATAATGATAAAATGAGCGAAAACTTTTTGCTATAGATTACAAATGGACCAATGAAAAAGAATATGGTTGAAAGTTTTGAAATTTACATTATGTTCTAGACTTAAAGAGAATTTTTATAAAATATCATTGGTTATTTGTCACCAGGGAAACTGGTGTATGTATAAATGTATTTTGAATCTTTGCTGGAAATGTGAACAATGTGAAGAGACATTTTATCATGTCTGTTGGACATTTAAAAAAAGCCTAAATATCTTGTATACAAATATATACATTAATTCAGAAGATTTTAAAAGTTAAATCACAAATGAAACCAAATGCTTTTCCTTGGATATTAATAGACAAGAAACTATTAAAAAGTTATGAAGCTTTGTTTTTATATATGACAACTGCAGCGAGATTATTATATGCTCAAAAGTGGAAAAGCTCAGAGGAATGTTGATGAAGATGATAAAACTTGCAGAGATGGCTAAATTAACGGCTTTGATCAAAGAGAAAAATGACATTTATGTTCAACTAGAAAAGATTTATAGACTTTTTCATGAAATAGAAAAATGCACTTACAATTTGTGGTTTGATGATTAGAAAAAAATGGATAATACAAAAAATAATGGGGTTTTTTATAATCACTGATTAAAGAAAATTTTGTAATTGTACTTATAGTTGCTGAAAAGGAAATGGGAACTTTCTTCCTATTTTTTCTTTACAATTCATTCCATATTTTTGCTTTTTTCTTTTCTTTCTTTTAACTGCCTCTGTTTTTTATTTGTGTTGTAAAACTTGAATAAGAAATATAAGAAATGAAAAACATCTTTGAAATGTCACCAGCAGAAATATTTGTATTTTTACAAAATAACAAAAATAAAGAATAGTAGTTCAACAGAAAAATATCTCTTCTTTTGCAAAATCACTAGCAAAAGTTGAAAAAAGTTAGTTCAGTCATCCACATGTACTGAACAATAACTCCTAATGTTCCCATGCTGCCTGATGGTAATGGGAGTTGATCAAATATATAATTGCAATAGATTGTACTACCGTCTTTCCCCGAAAATAAGACAGGGTTTTATTTTCTTTTGACCCCCAGAATAAGCACTTGGCCTTATTTTCGGGAAGTCTTATTATTTTTGAGATGCAGGAGGCGACGAGCATGGTCACCTTATGACTGCTGCTGTGTTGCAATATTTTCAGGGAGGGCTTATTTTAGTGCATGCACTTATTATCCAGGGAGGTCTTATTTTGGGGAAAACAGGGTAGAACATTAGAAGGTGCCTCTTCTGAAAAACTGGCCACCTTGTAATTATTAAAATTAGTCTATTTTAGAAGAAAGAAAATTTTAATTGTATCTCAAATGTTGGCTTCATCAAGGATGATGATGCATTATTTGTAGACAAAACAGTTCTAAAATAGAAACAAATGGGCTTGTTAACCTGTAGGAGCTTCTGCAGGAGATTCACTTTACAGTTTTTATTTTGGGTGTATTTTTCCACTTATGCTGATCATTAATAATCCTGTCCACTGTTTGAACTAGCATCACTAATAAAGTCTGCCATTTCTGAATCAGGATCGAAGGCACGCTATCCAATTATCCTTCAATTGCTCACTTTTCTCTCTACTATGTTGCTTTTTAAAATGTGGTTATTTCAAATCAGCAGTGATTAAAATAAAGAATAATTAGGCACTTTTTTCTTATTTTTATTTTCCACCTTGTAGTAGCCTTTCTATTCAGAATGAAAGATGAAGAAATCATGTTTTAAAAAAGGCCACACTCTCAGGTCCTGATGCTCAGATCATGCCAAAAATTATTGGTGCAATGAACTCACCTCTTTGGGGACTGGCAACCTTTGCAGTGGGTTAAGATTCATCATGGGAACTGCATGAGTTGGCAGCTGAGTTTCAGGTATTTCTGGCACCATGTTCTGCTCCTGCTTCACCATGATGGAACATAGCTTGTGCTGGAGTGTCCACATACCATTTTCTAATTCTAAGAAAAGAAGCACATCACAGTCAAGTCATATTAGCGCTGTATATGAGAAGCACTGCACCATATAATGAGGTGTATTCTCTTCCACGACAGAAGTAAACGTGAAGGAACAAGCAGGGGTGGGCTTCTGGAGGTTCGCAGAGGGTTTGGGAGAACCTCTAGCTAAGATTCTGTACAGTTCAGAGAACCCCCAAATCTCACTCCTGGCTGGCCCTGCCCACCATGCCCCTCCCCTCCCAGGAGTTCCCACACACATGCAGGTAAGTACAGGGCGTGTACGCCCTTGGGGAGGGAGAAAAACAGGTGCATGCAGACGGCGAAAAACAGGCCCACCGGAAGTTTGGGAAGGCCAGAAACAGGCTTGTTTCCAGCCTCCAGAGGGCCTGCAGAGCTTGGGGAGGCTGTTTTCAGCCTACTGGAGGCTCGAGGAAAGCCCCCAGAGTCCGGGGAGGGCAAAAAGGACCTCCCCGCCGTGGTGCATGAGGCCAAACTAAGCCACGCCCACCATGGCCACGCCCACCCAGCAACTGAGCAGAGAACCACTTGCTAAAATTTTTGAAGCCCACCCCTAGGAACAAGGATTTTAGAGCTAGGAAGCAACACCATAAGCTTTTCTTTGTTTCAGAAAAGAAAATATATTCTATTGAACTCTAGTATATGGGTATGCTACACTTTACAGGCCAAAGGCTACATTAAAGCCTTGCCCAGAACATCCCGGTCACTTTAGGCATTGTGCTTCAATTTTAAACAATTTTAGAGGTTTTTTAAAAAAGAAATGGAAAAATTCTGCAAGATCACCAAATATAAGGTGATTTGGTGACATTTCAGGTGAAGCTGGTGAGACTTCACCAGCCTCACCTGAAATGTCACAAGACCTCAAAGAAGATCTTGATTAAATCCAACTCCATTTTGACAATATTTAAACATTTAAAGAGGCTGATATCACACAAGATGGTTGATCTCTCCTATATGAATCTTCTCTGTCAGGGTAGTCTGTCCTATATTGGCTTATGAAACAAGTATGTTTGTAGGTTGACTCAAGAAGTTTCTTTAAAACAAGGATGGACAATATTTTCTCAGTTAGACCCAGCAGGTTTAACTTTTTAATCCCTCCCTCTCCCCCACAATTCTAGAAAGCCAGGGTGAGCTATTAAGGGTGGAAATAATAACATTTGACTTTTGAGAAGTATTTTGCTCTCAACACATCCTTATTGTCCTATTTTAAATCCCAAGCAGTTCCACAGAAATGTGTTCATTTTGCTTCCAAACTTCAGCAGTAACAGTTCAGTCTGTTTTTAGCACTTTGGGAGTTTAAGGGCAGGAATGTGAACATTTCATTCTTTCAAGGATTTCTGGTCCTGTTTTCATTCTTATGTTAAATTGAATGTGCACTGCTCCAATTCAGTCATTTTTGCCATCAACTTAGGTTGCATGGTCTCAGTGTATTCTAGGACTACAAAAGGAATATGTGAACAGATTCCTATAGGTTTGAGGTGTTTACCGCTGCATTAAGCAAGAAAAAGTTTAATGTCGCTATCAACCTGGAAATACTTTCCTCAAAAGAGTAGAAATCCATACAGCAACTCTTATGCTGTTAGAGAAAGCTCTCTTTTGTTATCTCTCCTTCATTCTGCCCTTTCCCAGATTTCTCAGTCTCCATTCTTCTGTGCTGCATCTCATAGCCATGATGTTCTTGTCATGTTCTAAAAAATTGCATTCCACTATGAAGCAGCTGGCATGATGCTTCTAAAAGATGCAAGGCACTTTCTGTCTCTAGTTTTACTGGTAGCTTCTACCTCCCTAGTCAACTCTTTGGCTTAGAAATGGAAGGATTTGGGAAGATTTTGTACTAAGCACAGGACCATGGAGAAAAATGAGTAAGGAGCATTTACATTAAGATCTAGAAAACTTTATAATAGAATGAGGAAATACTCATAATTAGCACCTGGGTATATAAACAGCACACTGCATCATTTTCATTGCAAATAGCCATATTTACAGAATGTTAGATGTGAAGGAAAACCAAGAGCAGGAACAGGAGGAGGATGAAGAGGAGGAGGAAGAGAATGGAATGGAATATCTATTCATAGAACTTGTAACTTTCTATGAACACTAGTGCCCCAATGCTCCTTTTCCAGCTGTCTTACCTAAAATATATCTCTTCTAGATATTGAGGGGGTTTGGAGAGTAAATGTCCTCCCTCATCTGAGGTGAGATAGTTCAGTAACAGCTCTACAAGGAAGAAGGATATTTCTCTGGAGCAGAACCAAACAAGAATGACCTATGAAAAAATTGTAGTGCTTTCACCCCTTCTCTTCTTGATGTCTGGCAGCACTCAGCCAGGATAATCCCTGACCACTGTGGGGAAACTTATTCCCTGCTTTTATGGTTTTCTAGCTTTTTTTTTTTGAAAAGAAAGGCCTTTCTTCTCTTGTATATACTGAATCTGTGCCATTTCCTTTTCGGGCTGACGGTTGTCCTTCAACCACTCGGACACCCACAGGGTCCCACAAATAACAGGATCCTCTGCTAGGATTGCTCTAAAAATATCCTGTCATCATGAATCATCCCAAAATGAATTGTTTTAAAAATAGGTTTTGAAATGACTGTGCTTCTCCATCTCCTGCAGACAAATCTGCTGGTAGCAAAGAAGCCCACTTAGGCCTCTACATGTGCCAATAAGCATTAACTATAAGCAGTAGCTTTCATTCGGTCTATACCCAAAACAGAAGTATCAGGGAAGGTGCTGATTTCCTTGCATCCGCACCCAACAATCTCAGGGTCCCTCTCAGAGGCTGCCCAGAGCTTGGCAGTGGAGGAAAAAAGAGTAAGTTGACATATTTTATTTAACTTTCTTTTTCAGTGTGAGTATTACAGAGCTTTTCAGGGCACAAAACAGTCATTTAAGCCTTAGTACATGGAGCTTAGGGGATGCAGTGGCTCAGTGGCTAAGACAGTGAGCTTGTCAATCAGAAGGTCGGCAGTTCAGCGGTTCGAATCTCTAGCTCCGTATAATGGGGTGAGCTCCGGTTATTTGTCCCAGCTTCTGCCAACCTAGCAGTTCGAAAGCACGTAAAAATGCAAGTAAAAAAACAGGGATCACTTTGGTGGGAAGGTAACAGTGCTCCGTGTGTCTTTGGCATTTGGAGTCAGGCCAGCCACATGACCATGGAGACATCTTCAGACAGTGCTGGCTCTTTGGCTTAGAAACAGAGATGAGCACCACACCTAGAGCCGGAAAAAACTAGCATGCAATACAATACAATACAATACAATAGCAGAGTTGGAAGGGACCTTGGAGGTCTTCTACTCCAACCCCCTGCCTAGGCAGGAAACCCTATACATCAGACAAATGGCTATCCAACACCTTCGTAAAGACTTCCTGTGTTGGGGCATTCACAACTTCTGGAGGCAAGCTGTTCCACTGATTAATTGTTCTAACTGTCAGGAAATTTCTCCTCAGTTCTAAGTTGCTTCTCTCCTTGATTAGTTTCCACCCATTGCTTCTTGTTCTACCCTCAGGTGCCTTGGAAAATAGTTTGACTCCCTCTTCTTTGTGGCAGAAATATTGGAACACTGCTATCATGTCTCCCCTAGTCCTTCTTTCTATTAAACTAGACATATTCAATTCCTGCAACCGTTCTTCATATGTTTTAGTCTCCAGTTCCCTAATCATCTTTGTTGCTCTTCTCTGCACTATTTCTAGAGTCTCCACATCTTTTCTACATCGTGGTGACCAAAACTGAATGCAGTATTCTAAGTGTGGCCTTACCAAGGCATTATAAAGTGGTATTAACACTTCACACCAAGTTTCTGTAATGGCAACAATATCGTATCTGCCCTCTTTTATTTGAATTTCTAATTCGCCCTGTTTATTCCTCATACTCTGTGCATTGGTGTATAGACATTTGAGTCCATTTTGATTGACCCTGTGTTTACTGTCTACATAACCTGTGTTATGGCTGACTGCCCCTATTTTCTTGCCACTTGTATGATTCATGCACATGGTATGGCATTCACTACTAAATGCTTGGTTTTGCTTGACAGCGGGAGTGATAATCTTACCCGCACAAACATCTGTGTTACATGCACTGATAACCCTATGAATTTTAGATTGCTGGGGACAGAAATGTTCTGCATCAATTAATTCTCTGACCCCGCTGTGTGGGGAAACCTTTACTTTTACATGGAGCTCAGTTTTATCTAATGGAGCGGGTCTGAGGTTGAAGCTTAGACTACTGGGTTGGGAAGTATTCAAAATTCAAGGACATAGGCTGGCCTGAAGGACACAGCTCAGGAGTCAAATAAGTTCCACCAACTTACCCACTCCCCTGTGTCACAAGGTCAGACAGACCTTAGGGGACTCCTGCCCTCTAAGGTCAATCCATTTTAAGAAATGGGTATGTTAGCTTTAGCACTACTTGGAAAGCATATAGGTTCTTCTTGTGAGCTGAGGAGAAAAGGGAAGGAAATAAAATATTTCCCTTTTTATCACACATGAAATTGTTTTCAGTGCTTGTGTGCTAGTAAATTGAATTACACTGGCCATCCAATTTTCAGCATAAGAGCAAGATTGATTGTAGACAAACACATCAGAATATAGCTATAGACCAAGTGGACAGGGTCAATGCATTCCAAACCAGCAATCCTTAAGCCTGAACCTGCATGGATATGACTACGGTCCAAATTTCTTCTATTCACAAATTAGAAGAGATACATGGAAGAGGAAACAGAGGACAGAACTGGGGAAAGAAATTACAAGACCAGGAGACTCCTCAAGAATATATTCAGATAAGAAGTTCTCCATCCCTGGTTTAAAGGGAAGAGAAGAAAAAATAATATTTTTTTTGTCAGCAAGAATGATAAATTATCAGATTCATAAGCACTAGGAATAATAATAACAAGAGAAGAGAAAGAATTGAAGAAAATCAGAAATACAAAGACCTGCAAATAGAAGTACAATGATTGTATTTAAGAAAGCAAAGTTAGTAACAATAATAATAGGCTGCTTGGGTACAATCCCAAAACATCTGGAGCACCACTTGAACATCACTGGCATTCAAAATCACCACTACCAATTGCAAAAGGAATTTAGTTGGAAAATCTTACATTCCACAACAATACCTTTAATACCATCAAACTGCATCTGCTATCCCAGGTCCTTGGGAAGGACTCCCTAGGTGGGTAAAAATGCCAATTCCAGTCTAAACATCTGGTCGAATGTGCATTGAACCATAACAATAACCTCCATAAGTAAATTGCTCCGTTCATATATAAATGTTATTATCATAAAAATTATTTCTTGCATTTAAATAAAATTTAGGTAGCTGCAAATGATATCTATTATTTTTGTTCCTAGTTTCTGATTACAATGAAGAACTCCTAACTAACCTTTTATTAATATGGAGCACTTCTGCCACCGCAGGAACTTGCAGCTATGATTACGATTATCGATAAAAATGCCTGATTGCACCTTTTCTAGTCACTGTAATTTTACCACCAGAGCTTTTAAATGCTGAAGGAATGGTGGCTTTGTTGCAGAATTTTTTCCTGTCATGGCAAATACTGTGACTTATATATTCATTTAGCAAAAGACCAAATGAATCTACACAGCAAGATATATTGAGAATGTGAATGCATGAAGAGAATACTAGCAATTTCTCTTTACTAGAGGATGAGGCTAAGTGGATTTTTGTTGCTCTAGGGCTTGTGATCGCTCACCTGGCTCATAGTTTTTTGTGGGGGACAATCGTAGGTCAGTTTCAAGCTCTTCAGAGATGGAGGAATGGAAACAATGGATAGAGGGAACCAGAAACAAATCAAAATTAGTCCCCCTAAGGGAACTAATTTATTTAGCATTGTTCAGAAAAAAAAACTCTTTGGCAAAGAACACTGCTTTAAAAATATGTACAGTAATGTTGTGTGAATAATGAGAAATAGTGAGAGATCAGTTTTCTGGACAATATCCAGGACTTAAATAATCAGTTATATTAAATGACTGTAAGACAGTAAGCATTCTCCTCTCTTAAAACAGTGGGTTATTGGCTCTCTGCTGTGACTCATGAGGCCAAACTCCATGTTTTGTCTGTTTTAGAAGATCCTGAGGAGAAATTAAAGGTCAACTCTATTTTTTTTATATCACAGCTTTGTTTTATTTTGAAGAACCCTTTATTTCAATTTCCTCCATTATTGCTGCTTTCAACAAAGGAGACTTGAAAAAGGTGATGTTTAGTTTCTAATTTCAGCTTGTTCACATGTGTATCACAGTCCTGTGAATGTTTCTTCAAGGGTAGGTTTTACCGTATTCAGTTGGACTCACTTCCTAAGAAACATATTTAAACAGTGTAGTTTTATTTCATTATTCCCTCCCCCCTCCCCAAGCTGTTTCTTGAACTATCCCTTATTTGGTTTAAGCACAATCACTGCCTTCCCCAGATAAGCTTATGAGGCTTCCTGATTATAAATTCCAAAGAGAGAGAATGTGGCAGGCAGATAAAATCTATATATGTTTCCGGTTTGGCTTGACTCTTTTTCTATTTCCAATAGCTAGCTGAATAATGTCAGCTGTCTTATCATTCGATGATTCAAATCAGTTAAAAATGGGTTAGATTAATTGGCTGGAACCAACTTTAACTCTGGGCCCCTTTTAACGACACAGGAAACAGGGGCAGTTTGCTAGCAGCAGATCGTCTGCTTTCAAGAGAAACAGCTGTTTGGAAGAGACACAGATTGGACCTGCTTGTGACAGTATCTATCACATCAGCAGAGGATACAGTGCAGTTTAGGCATATGCTTCTGGATCCAGCTTTCTACTCACCACTAGCATTGTCCTCTGTCTTGACAGGCATAAGAGGGCTCTGTGGAGCAGAGTCTCCACTCAGGGAGTAGCTGTGTTCTGCCTGGATGCCAGGAGTGGGAGGATCCAGATCCATGTCCAGCAAAGGGTTTTTTTCCACCAGCATGGGGTCATCAAAGAAGCTGTTGAACAGTTCATTGGAAAAGTCCTCCATGTTCTCAGAGAAGTGGTCAAAGCTCTCGGAGAAATGCTGGGAAAGGAAAGAAAAGTGTGAACTGCATCATCTCCATGAGAGACTAGAGGGCCTTCTACTGAAATGCATCCCAGGCCAGATACACTGGAAGCCAAATCATTTGGATCAGAAAGAACTATATCCATCTTTTATTGTTTCTGTTTTCACAGCTTCAGAAGAAGCTAACCAGCCAAAATCCACAATGAAATACATGCCTGCCCATTTTCTTCACCTTAATTTAATACATTTTATTCTCTCTGCATTCTGTCTTTTCCTACAACAAGCTATTGAAATGCATTGATTGGAACATCAGAATTACAGGTTTGAAGCACATTACTTTCTTCTTACTTTGAAGCCTTCTAAACATATTTCTTTATGACTCTCTCTTCATCTCCACTAGTGTGTTCATTTTTCAAACTATCAAAGCATCTTTATCGGGTTTCTGTGCAGTGATGATGATCAAAGGCATACATACCTAAATTATTTTTTATAAAAAGCAACTGAGGTATTGTGATGTTCTCATAAATAACTGTGAAATTAAGTTGTTATATAAACCTTCTCATAGTTTGAGGATGGAACATTATTTATCATGAAAAGAGATTTTATGGAATACTATAAAACATATCCTTCCAGTGGCTTTTCTTCTATACAGCATATCCGTTTGTGGAAAGTTTTGCCATATAATACTGTGGAGAAACCTTGGCAGAAACTCATGTACCATGGTACTGATATTTATTCAAAATACTGTTCAGTATTAATACAATGCAAAGGTTTGTTTCATAATGTAATCCAATTCTATGTATCCTCTGTGCAGAGCATTGTAACTTTAGAAGCAGACTGAACGGTAAAGAATCATTCATGAGCATCTTATCATATATGTTTACAATGAAAGCACGGGCCACAAGTCACAGTAAAGATGTGATATTTGTAGAAGACATAAGAAGTCATACCTTTGCTTCAAATCATACTTTACAAAAAAGTCCATCCATTTCATGCATATCGCTATAGCTATATAGGACTGCAACTGTTGTGTGAGCAGTACAATTCCATTTAAACTCAGTGAGTCCAGATTTATTTTCTTTTCATTTTATACTGTTTGCTTTTTACACACACACACAAATCTATTGCATGTTTATTTTCACAGGTAAGTAAGAATTAAATTTAATTATAAATTATGTAATATGAAAATATTTTAAAAATCAGACTAGACACACCCACTACTAAAAGTTACATTACTGCTTGGATGAAATACACATTCATCTTCACCATAAAAGTCTTTGAAGAAGTTGACATAGAAGTTTAACAGAGAATGTCTATGGAGATTCTGATGTCAGGGTTCCAAGTAACATCCTAAAGAAAGAAGACTCTGAGACTTGAGTTTCCTCAAAGTTCCATTTTATTAGAGATGTCATATTGGCACATCTGGGAAAACCCAAATCTGAAAGTTTCCAGGTTTTCCCCACCCAAAAGAAAGTTCAAGCCCCAACCCAGCATCCACACGTCCATCACATGATCCAATCAGGTACTATCCTAACCAGGAGATGCCTCCCAGTCGCCTCATCGCAGCTGCAGGGCCAGTTAACCTTGAATTTCTGAGAAAGAATGTCATTATGGCTACATATCACCCACACTCTGTAAAAATTCCTCCTCTCATTTTCCCACAGTAGAAAATATGGCAGGCCGAAAGTCCAAAAAGTAAAATATGGCTTCCAGGTCTGACATTTCAATCATCCAGGTCATGGTTGTCCCAAAGGTGCTTTTCCAAAAGCTAACCAAACTGTATTGGTTTTTTCCTTGAAAACATTTTGCTTCTCATCCAAGAAGCTTCTTCAGTTTAAAAGAGAATACGGGAAAATAAATAAATATTACCAGCTGAATGGGAAGGGGACTATATTGAGAGGACCAAATTACAAGGAAAGAAAACTACTAGTGTAATTTAAGCCCCTCCCCACAATTTTCCTTGTAGGGAGGAATAATCTGCCGCCTAAACACATTTTTCTGTATCATGTTCCTTGTATCTGAAAATGGTATTCCAGACCATTCTGTGTGAGTGATGTTTATTGCAGGACACATACTATAAACATTTCTTTCAGCACTTAGCAGTTATGGAGATGATCGTTCAAAAGTTGTTTTGTCATCTTCCTTAGTTTTCTCCCCCAAATATCTCACCAGGATATATTTCTTAATATTTTGCTATTTAAAATATGTTACCGTTATCTCTTCACACAGTGACTAAGTTCTTCCTCACGTTCTGTTGAAAATTGTACCCCTTCCTATTTTGCTCAGCTTTCATGTAAGAAACAGCAACACTATATCCAAATACAATATCCAAAATCAATCCATCCATTAAACTTTAAATAATGCAAAACTTGAGGAACTTAAAAACAAATACTATATGTTACAAATAGGGTCACAGAAATATCAAGAAACCACCTCTGGATCAGAGGTGGTATTCAGCTGGTTCTGACCAGTTCTGAAGAACCAGTAGTGGAAATTTTGAGTAGTTAAAGAAACAGTAAATACCACCTCTGACTGGCCTCACCCCCATCTATTCTCTGCCTCCTGAGTCCCAGCTGATCGGGAGGAAATGGGGATTTTTCAGTAACCTTTCCCTGGAGAGGGGAGAGAATGGAGATTTTACAGTATCCTTTCCCTGCCATGCCCACCAAGCCATGCCCACAGAACCAGTAGTAAAAATTTTTGAATCCCACCACTGGATTACCCCCATACCCACTTGCACTGCATTACTCTAGTTCTGTATAATCTACAGCATCAAATCTAAGATTGGGAAAGGCCTAGGTTCGTTTAACCCAATATTGTCTACACCAGTAGTTTTCAGCCTTTTCTTCATCACAGACTCCATATAAATACCTTTTGTTGTCATGGATCCCCATAACTTAACACAATATTTAAATCATAACATTTCTTCAAGTCATCGCAGACCCTCTGTGATGACATCATGTCTCCTAGGGTCTGCAGACCACAGGTTAGGAACCATTGGTTTATACTAACCAAGCCAGCAATGTGTGGCGGCAGTCAAAAAAGCCAATGCAATCCTAAATTGCATTAACAGAGGGATACAATCAAGATCAAGTGAGGTACTAATACCAGTCTATAAAGCCTTAGTAAGACCACACCTAGAGTACTGCATCCAGTTTTGGTCACCACACTGTAAAAAAGATGTTGAGACTTTAGAAAAAAAAGTGCAGAGAAGAGCAATCATGATGATTAGGGGAATGGAGACTAAAACTTATGAAGAATAGTTACAGGAACGGGGCATGGCTAGTTTAGTGAAGAGAAGGACCAGGGGAGACATGATAGCATTGTTCCAATAGTTGAGGGGCTGCCATAGAGAGGAAGGGGTCAAGCTATTTTCCAAGGTACCCAAAGGCCGGACAAGGAATAATGGATGGAAATTGATCAAGGAGAGATTCAACCTAGAAATAAGGAGACGTTTTCTGACAATAAGAACAATCAACCAATGGAACAGCTTGCCTTTGTAAGTTGTAGGAGCTTCATCACTGGAGGCTTTCAAGGAGAGATGGGACTGCCATTTGTCAGAAATGGTGTAGGGTCTCCTGCTTGAGCGGGGGGCTGGATTAGATTACCTACAAGGTCTCTTCCAACTCTTTTAATTTTATAATCTGACAAAGCAATAGTTCTTCACACTTCATATCACAGATCACATCCAATATCTAGAAATTTGTGTTATATGCCAAAAACTAACTGTATTCTTATACCACACATATCCAAGTCATGTAAATAGATGTTCACTCGGCATGCCTATCTTTTTTCACAATTTAGGATGAAATACAAACCAAGCCTGTCCATTCCATTTACAGGTCAAAGTATTGGCCTAACCCAGAAAATGATTTAAATTGGTAATCTGATGGGCTCAATGAAGTCATTATTTTCTGTAGCAGTGGATAACCTTGGAATTCGCTAGTGATGAAATCTTGCAAGCTGTATGCTGAATTAGCAAGATACCTCAGACGCTCTAGATGTCATTCAACAACTGCATATTTATTTCAGATTTACTGTGCAAAAATATATAATTATTTTGATTTGGTATTTGGAAAGGGAAAGTTGGTGTTAGAAAAGGAAATGCTTTAGATGATGACATAAAATGGTCATAAGTGACAAATGGAAGGTCAAAGAAGGCTAATTAATCTTCATGCTGCAATACAGTATTCAAACTTTTTATTAAGCTGATTTTTTTAAAAATCCATGGCCATAAAAAACTAGAAACACTGGGCTATAATGTATATAAAACTTTTTAGAAGGAGTGGAGAAAGGAGTGCTGTGTACAGTGCCTTGAGATCCTGGAGAAAAGGCAGGATGTAAATCTGACTAATTTACTAAATGTTTACATAAGAACAGTATATACATAGTTAGATTCACATATTGTCTGAAGTTAAGATTTCCTCAATGAGTTGTAATAGCTGGATACACGCATTAGTCTAGAGCAGGGCTGTCAAATTTGTGGCCTGTGGACTGGATGCGTCATGCACTGGCCACGCCCACACCCGCTTTAGTGAAGGAGGAAAAAAGTCACGATACGTCATATGATGCCACTGTGACGACACGAGTTTGACACCCCTGTACTTCTTCTTCTTCCTCTTGTACCATAACCGTCATCAGACATCGGCGATCATGTTGGCAATCCTATTTTTATCAACTAATTTTATCAAAAGATGACCTCTGTACTAGAGGATAGAATGTGTCTTGGAAACCCAATGGCTGAATTAAGCTAAAACCAAAACAAAATCCATTGCAACTAACAGCCAGTTACTTGCTCAGAAGCAGGAATGCTAATAATATTATGCCTAAATTCTACTCAAACCTAATGTGGTTGTTTAAAAAATATGCTTCCTGTATTACAATGATATTGCCTGCCTTTATAAAGGTAGCATCTTCAAGGAAAATATGGGTATGAATAAATATTTAAAGTGGTGGTTTATATAAAATGCCAACAAGAAAAAAAGTGTAGTAGTATTCTTCTGCTGCTCTGATCTTAC